ACCAGAACTCCATTTATCTATTTAATTTAATAAAAAATATTTTCATAGCTCAAAACCCCCCCTTTGAAATCTACTCTGTTTCAACTAGTTGTTTCAGCAATTGCAAGTTCTCAGAACTATTTTGAATGCTTTTTTCACAGCATCACTCCTTCAAAGGTATTTTCTTCACCTAACTTTAGTCTCTTAAAGGACATTATTTCTTTTGTTTTGTTTATACTTAGTATTGTTATTGTAGAAAATATATTATGCTGTCTGAAATTCAGATCCTGTGTTATACATTCATCATATTCTTTCCCAAATAAACTAAGGTGGGCAGGGGGCTATCTTGCATTTAAATGCATTTTCTTCCACTAGATGCTCTTTTAAGAAATCCTGATGGTTTAGTGGGTTACACATTGAGTTGCTAACTGCAAGGTTCTTGTTGTTAAGTACAGTGGCATGGGTTCTGACTCTTAGTAACCCTGCACAGGGTTTTCGAGGCTGTTAATCTTTACGGGAGCAGAAAGCCTCATCTTTCTCCTGCGGAATGACTGGTAGTTTTGAATTGCCCACCTTGAGGTTAGCAGCCCGATTCGTAACCACTGTGCTACCAGGTGAGCTGTTCAAATCTACCATGTGCTCCAGGAGAGAAAGATGTGACTTTCTCAACCCGTAAAGGTTTACAGAATCTTAAATCCCATACAAGGTCGCTCTGAGTCAGAACCGACACACAGCCAGCCAATCAGATGCTCTTGCTTGGTGCTGTAGGATAAGCACTGGACTGCTAAAAGCAGAATCAGCGCATCAAACCTGCTCCTTCTTCAGAAACTCTAAACAGGGTTTCTTATGAGTGGGAACCAACTTGAAAGTACTTAACAACATGTGCTCTTTGCTTATTTTTGTAGGGCCTTTTTTTTTTTTTTATTATTGTTTTTACTTTTTTTTTTTAAGTTGAGCTTGATGATTAAATAATTTGTGACTTTTCAGTTTATATTCTATCAGTCACTTTTAGAAAAGGTACAGTGAATGTTTGGAAGGTTAATTCCCATGAAGCTTTCCCAATAATTTTTCTTCCAAATCTGTGCAATTTGCATTCTGGAAGTATGTCCAGCTTCCCTTGGCATTCAACCATGTCATTAATCAATTAGCTCACTTTACCAGGTATAGTGCAATTTTCTATATGAAACTACATACTCCCAATGGAATATTTTATTTTTAATGGCTTCCTACATTTATCACCTCATTCTATAAAGTTAGTTGTGCAATATTGCTTAGAGAAGGGAATTTTGATCTTTGTGTCAATGTGGTTTTACTAAGAGTTAATCCAAGAGATACAAAATACAGGCAATCAGTTATACAGATTTAGGAGCATTCCATAGTTTTAGAACTGTTTATGTTTAGACTGATATTTTCTTTCTAGTTTCTGTTCTTTTTGATGACATTATTAGGTTTTCTCTTATTTTGAATAAATTGTTAGTAATCAAGGGGGAGTATGGAAGACTGTATTAACTGTACTAATATTTACAACTCCTTTAAAAGTTTTTTTTTAGAACTTAACTTAAAATTTGTCCATGTTTAGTAATTTATGGAGTGTGTAATGAGTAATGGGGATATTTGATATGCTTAAAAATTGTTGCTTTTGTTAAGTGCAATCGAGCTGGTTCCAATTTATAGCAGACCAGTACAGAATATCCAAGGAGCAGCTGGTGAGTTTGAGCCATCGCCCTTGTGGTTCAAACCAACCCTGTAGTCTTGTGCTTATCTGACAGTGCAACAAATGGGTTAAAATTCCATGTTATCTATGTTGTTGTTGTTAAGTGCCATCGAGTCATTCCCTATCCACAGCAACCCTGTATAGGGATTCCAAGGAGCACTGGTGAGCTTGAACCTCCAACCTTGCAGTTCAAATTATTTTTGCTGTCCAGAGCATTAACCCATAGCACCACATCATGTTATCTATAAGTAAAATTTCCTGTGAACTCTGTAATGCATTTTTGAAAGATTTATGGAAATTGTGAGTCTGCTCAAAAATGTTTGCTGTGAAGCCTTTAAGATTTAGAAGGAAGAGGGAAATGATCTAAGGCAGTAATTATTTACTAAGGAAATGTAAAGACAGGGAGATCTTGTGTCTCAATAATGAGAAAGAACATGTTGAAGTCATTGAGTTGTATAACATTTATAGGAAGAAAATTAATTTGAAAATAAAACTTTTTTTCAGAAATTGAAATAAAGTCTGTTAAACTTCCTACTGGAAGACAATAGTGGGAATAACACAATAATTAGGATATTGCAGTGTATTTTAATTTTTGTAATTACACAATTATGCTAGATTCTGTTAGAATGGACATGCATTTCTTTTTTTTTCTATTTGTTATATCTACAGTTTTGTTCACATTACTGGTATTAATGAAGTCAAATACAAACAGGGTAGACACACATGCTTGAGGGAGTTATGATTTTGCAGAGGATCAGAAATTTAGAGATGTTTGTGCAGAAAATATGGGTGACTATATAATTTGTATATAATATACCAACATTCACAAACATAATGCCTGTAACACACATAGGAGACTAACTAGCTAGGGGATTGAATAATAATAGTATAATGCTTGTGTCCTTTACATAAAAATAAGGTACATAACAAATATATGCATTTGAGTTAAGTAAAACAGGGAATTTTACTAAGTCAGGGTATTGAACATTTGCTAGGAAAAAAGCAGAAATATTTTATTTTCCATCAATCTGTGGTAGTAATTCATCTATCACTATTACTTGTTCAATTTGAGCAAGAGTACATGGTAGAGTGCTTTCTCCTGATGATTTTGGTGAAGTAGCTATTGGCAGGTAAAGTTGCTGGTTCTTTGGTTAGTGTACCTACACTCTTACTGATATCCTATATAGAAGCAATATAATGGATGCAATGGGGAGTTAATAAAGTTATCCTTTAGCTAAGAGTAAGATATTAGATCATAGTTTATCTTGGAGTTGAAAATGATGTTTCTCCAAACATAACTGTTATATTCTTTGAGAGATTTTACTTAACAAAATTGATATTTGTAGCCCTGCAAAGGTCTAAAGAAAAGAAAATAGGATCTCAAGGAAATGCCATACCTGGTACTATAGTTATCTCATATAATCTTTATACAGAAAGAGGAGTCTAATTTTAAGAGAATTTTGTTAAATGGTATTCAAAATAATGCGATATGATAAGATTATTATGAGTTAAAATGTTAATGTATTTTGTTGAAATCCCAAAATAAGTATTGTAAAATTTCATTCCTCGTGAAGTAAGTGATTTAAACATTTGGCAGTAGAAATAAATAAACATGAATTATCATGAGCAAAAGGCACATTAAGAATAACTTCTTAGGTTCATTTTATAAAATATGAGATGGCTTTAAATTAATGGAAAAATTTCATTGTCTGTAATTTCATCTTTCTACAAATTTTCTGAAGACCCCTGTACACCACATGCAAACACATATATACATTGTGGTTGTTTTTGATTGCCATCAAGTTGATTCTGTTTCAGGATAATCCAATGTGCACAGAGTAGAATGAATTATATATGATCTTCAAGGTTTATTTTTTGTAAGCAGATAACGAAGACTTACTTCCACATTACTCTGGCTATGTTTGAACTACCAATCTTTCTGTTAGTAGTTCTTAACCATTTGTTACAACAAAGCATTATTTTCACGCACACACCACCCACACACACATCCATTATCAAACTTTCTATATAGCTAAAAGAAAAGCCTACAGGAATGTATGATAGTAAAATACTATTTTGACTGAGAGATAGCTGATTTCTCCTTGGTAGCAGTAGGAATGAAGAAGACTTGCATTTTTAATATGTAATTACAGTTAGTATTTTTCTGAGTTGTGTTCTTTCATAAATAATCATGTTGTCCTCATTTGTAAATGAAATATCACTTTAATTGCTTGCTTTCCCTAACAGTGACCAAATTGTGCTTTCACTCAATGGACAAATGATTAAAATACAAATGATTTCAGGAAAATAAATCTAACAACACAGACAAATTGAGATATTTCCAAAAATGTTTGTAAGTTCAGGAGGGTCCTGGGTCCCTAAAAGGGATAGCAAGAAAAAACAACAACAAAAAATCAAAGATAGAAAGAAACAAGGGAATGATGATCTAAGCTATAGAGTATATAGATTTAAGTGTTGCCTTTATCACTTGGTAAGTATATGCATTTAGATAGGTCACACAAGCTTTCAGTATGTCATTTTTAATTAATACCAATGTTATGGTTCTGTATGATAAGCACTGGACAGGTAATCACAAGATCAGCAGTTCAAACCCACTAGCTGCTTCTTGAAAACCCTATGCAGGGTCACTATGAGTTGGAATCAACTCAATAACACTTAACAAAAACATATCAAATATATTTTAATCTTGTATCTTTCTAATTCATTTCCACAATTTAAAAGATTTTTCCCTAAAATTGAAAGTTAGTTAAATAAAATTTAATTGTTCTGTTTTAAGTTGAAATTAATTGAATTTCTACTTTTTTTGTAACTAGAAAGGCATATTAACATAAAGATTTAGATTAGGTCGAGTAGAAAGAAAGACATAGTCTAATTTGTTATAGTAGATAATGGAGTTTATTAATATGTCCATTTTTCTCTATTTTAGAGAGCATTAGAGGACAGCTAAGGGGTAAAGAAAGTGCACACTTGTATTAGGAAAATAGACAGACTAACTTACTATTGTTTGTTTTTGTTAAGTGCCTTGGAGTTGGTTCCTACTCACAGTGACCCTGTATAGGATTTCCAAGGAACAACTGGTAGATTTGAACTGCTAACCTTGCAATTAGCAGTCCAGTGCTTATCCTACAGTGATCTAATTTACTAGATAGACCTAACTTACTAGGGCATTAACTTCTGCATATTTAAAATAGTATACTGTTTTGGAAGTTACATTGTCACTTATTTAACCTTATACATATGTCATCTTTCTTAGCTATGTCTCAGCTTTCTAGAACAGACTTAACAAATGGGGATAGCAAGGAGTATCAATGAGAGCAACCTAGCAGGCTTCATTTTGTTGGGGTTTTCTGATCATCCTCAGTTACAGAAGACTCTATTTGTGGTCATCTTGATCTTCTATTTACTAACCATCCTTGGTAATACTACCATTATTCTGGTGTCTTGTCTGGAACCTAAGCTTCACACACCTATGTATTTCTTTCTTTCTCATCTTTCCTTTCTGGACCTTTGCTTCACCAGTAGTGTTATTCCCCAGCTGCTGGTCAACTTGTTGTATCCCATGAAAATCATTACCTATGCTGGCTGCGTGGTTCAACTCTATGTCTCCCTTGCACTGGGATCCACTGAGTGTGTCCTTCTGGCAGTGATGTCCTATGATCGCTACATTGCTGTTTGTCGTCCCCTTCATTACACTGTTTTGATGCATCCCCGTCTCTGCATAACTCTGGCATCTATGGCATGGGTTAGTGGTGTGGTTACTACCTTGGTACAGTCCACTCTCACCCTGCAGCTGCCTTTCTGTGGTCATCACCGAGTTGATCATTTTTTTTGTGAGGTTCCTGTGCTCATTAGGTTGGCCTGTGTGGACACCACTTTCAATGAAGCTGAACTGTTTGTGGCTAGTATCCTTTTCCTTATAGTGCCTGTCTCATTCATTCTGGTTTCCTACGGTTATATTGCCCAAGCAGTTTTGAAGATCAAGTCAGCTGCTGGTCGACAGAAAGCATTTGGGACCTGCTCCTCCCACATTATGGTTGTCATCATTTTCTATGGGACCATCATCTTCATGTACCTTCAGCCAGCCAAGAGCCGATCCAAAGATCAAGGAAAATTTGTTTCTCTCTTCTACACTGTTGTAACCCCCATGTTTAACCCTCTTATTTATACTTTGAGAAATAAAGAGGTTAAAGGGGCTCTGAAGAAAGTTCTAAGGAAAATTTTGTAAACACATTTTACCTGATTGTCAAAAAACTCTAAAACATCATACAGTGATAAACAATCTTTAAAAGGTACACATTTGATCTGTTTTCATTGGATAATTACTACAATAAACATTCTGTAAAAATACTATGAATATATATGTCTACACCTTGGTGTGGTGCTGTAGATTAAGTACTAGACTGCTAACCAAGCTAACCACAAGTCAGAAGCTCTATATAGGATTGCTATGACTTGGAACAAACACGTGGCACACAATAGCAACAGTCCTGCTTTACACTGCCTAAACCAAGCCAAAAGTCAAACCCGTGGCCATCAAGTTGAAGCCTAATCATGGTGACTCTATATAGGGTTTTCAAGACTGTAAATTTTAAAGTTTAATTGGAGCACACAGCCTCATCTTTCTGGTGCAGAGCAACTGGTGGGTTTGAACTGTTAACCCTGAGGTTAGCAGCCAAACACTTATTCTATATACCACCAGGGCTCCTTTTGCCACTACCTTAGTGATGTTGCAGAATAAGCAAAAGACTGTTAACTTCAAGGTCAGCAGTTTAAACCCAACAGCTGCTATTCAGAGTCAGAACTGATTCAATGGCAGGGAGTTTTGTTTTATTTTTGTAGTAGTAGTAGCGTAAGGGAAAACACTGAGTCAATCAATTCTTCAATGCTTTTTTGAAGAACTCTAGGATTCTTTACAAATTATAAATGCTACAAGATTGAGATGAACATGAAACTACATGCAAGAAAATCATAAGACCACTCAGTCTTTTATTTATTAATAATACATTTAGTCTCTTAGTCTTCCCAGAGCTCTAAATGTGCATGTTGCTTATTTCTTAGTGAGATTTCAGAAAAATATGTAGCTTAATGATATGTATCTTGAGAAGTCTGTGATGAAGCAAAAAACACCAGCCACTTAAATCTTTGGAGAGATGTGTGAGATGCACAAATACATAGGAAAAAAAAACATGAGGATAAAGGTTGTACATTAACTATGGTGGGTAAAGCATACATAAACTATTTGGTTCTCTGTGTAGTGGAACCAATGAACCAGTCCAAGCTGATTAACATTAGACTCTTTTACTTAATAAAAATCACATGCCTTGAAAACACCTAATTAGTTATATTATTTATAAATTAATTTATTAATCTGCTTGTTTTATATATATAATATTTTTTCTTTACTTTTTTAAAAATTCTATTTTTAGAGACAATATGCACAGCAAAAAAAGGTACACCATATTAAAAATCTGTACATTATAATTCAGTGATATTGATAGCATTCTTCAAGTTCTAGTAGAAGGTCTTCAAGCTCTGAGAGAGGATATTTCTTCCTTGGGTCCTACATGGCATTCATGTTCTGTGACATCTAACTTCCCTTGTTTCTACTACCTTCTCTTATTTCTACTGGCTTAATCTATTCTTTATAGTTCAGACAAGACAGATTTAAAACACTTTAATACTGCTTTATTGACATAACAAAGGCATTCCATTAAAAATGAGATAATTACAATGGTGAGATATGCTTAGCATAGAATGGTCAAACATTCAAGATCAAAAAGCAACATTTGCCTACAGATGAAGTTCAGAAGTGTTTGTAAAGAGGGTGGAATGGAAATGAGAACATAGGCAGGAAATGGGATAACTGTTTTATATAGAGGTGATCACAATCATTGAGATGAAACAAAGTGTATGATTTATTGAATGTAAAGCTGATAATCTGCTCTGTAAACCTTCAGTCAATTCACAAAAGTGTCAATGACCAAAAAAAAAA